TATCTGTACGTCCAATTTAAAATGTCAATTGTTTCTGCGTCAGTTTGCGTAGGTCAGGTAGAGGGCACGAGGTGGGCTTCCGTTCTTTTTCCGGCTCTGTAATATTATTTAAATTTACTCTAACAAAATTTCATATGAATAAACTGTCTTTGATAATTATGACGTACGATTTCCTTGCATCTTTGGTACTGCGTTAAATAAGAAAATTCAGTTTTACAAATTAAATCGAAAATTGTTATCGAATCTTTGAACCGTAGACTTACCGCCTAAACAAAATACATAACCACGTCCGTCTAACTCCACACATGTGCGCGCGAGAGCAGAAAAAAATGGCAGCTACGCCACATGCACACACACACCACACAATCATATGCCGATGCTTCTGCCATCTATGAGCTGTTGCTAGAAGCTTCAGTTTTCGTACCTGCTGTTAGATGGCACCTGCGGAAGAGTTTGACGTACGAATTGTCCTTTTCTTCCCTATCTGTACGTCCAATTTAAAATGTCAATTGTTTCTGCGTCAGTTTGCGTAGGTACAGGTAGAGGGCACGAGGTGGGCTTCCGTTCTTTTTCCGGGTCTGTAATTTAAATTTACTCTAACAAAATTTCATATGAATAAACTGTCCTTGATAATTATGACGTACGATTTCCTTGCATCTTTGGTACTGCGTTAAGTAAGAAAATTCAGATAATACAGATAATTTATATATTAAAATAAATACACCTCCACGCGGTGTTATTTCTTGGCGTACAATTGTTCAGCGAATCGTCGTGATAGGTAACCTGCTGGGAGTTACGCAGCAACTAATACGATCGTACTTGAGACGTGACGGATAAAACGAAAGGGTTCGATCGAATAGACGTTCCTTTTAACGGCAAATTCCTCGATACATCGAGGAGTTACCAGCGATTTAGTCCGTTTGAATTCTTTGAAAAAACAGCTTTCGTTTCTCTTTTTCAAAAAAATAGGTAGATTGATTGGAATTTTCGGAAATAGCCAGTCCATTCAAGGACGCTGAAGTCAGTTCTAGGAAGGTCAGTTCGGGATATGTCAGTTCTGGGAAGGTCAGTTTTTTTATTTGTAAACATATCAGCGACATTCCGACAATTTTTTATTTTCGGGTTAGTTTTTATTTTTTATTAACATATTTCCGACGTTCATATTCCCTAGGGTTAGTTCTTTTTTTAGAAAAATATTCCCTAGGGGTTGTCTTTCCGACTTGGGTTAGTTCTTTTTTTAGAGAAATATTCCCCAGTGTTTGCTCTCCGAGTTGTGAATTGGTTTCTTTTACAAGCATATTTGCGAGGTCTTATCGACGAAGATTCGATCGACGTAAGATTCAATTATCGATTACTTTATCAACCGATTATTTCCTATCAACCAAGATTTAACCCTTTTCCGGTTTATTTTTTAGAAAAATATTCTCATATTGCCGACACGGTTATTTATCGACGTTCTTATCTCCCGACTTTGGTATATTTAGTATATTAGCATCGTACGTATATCAAAAGAAAAAAAAAAGCCCGAAGGCCGTTACAACAATCTTGGCCCGAAGCCCGACTTACGATTGCTGGGTGATACAACGAGAGTCGTATGTTGACGCAGTTTAATTGATAGCTCAGCTTTACTACAGTCGCTCGAAAGTACCACGTTTCTTTAAATTCTTAGATGGATAATTTTGAATCGTAATCTGCCGTGGAGAGGTACGTAACCTAGCCTGGACCATCTGTGAGTTGTTCCTACAAGCTGAGGTTTGTGTACATTGTCACGTCGTATATTTTCTGTTATATTTAAATATTCGAAGCATCGTGTCAAGTCTTTATCCTGTGTTGCATAATAGGGACGGAGTTAGTTGGCACGGAGCGTGGAGGTTAATTTATTTCACGCAACCCGTACGCAATGTCCGAGAAAGAAGGTGACGAATCTGCTGTTGCTAACGAAAGGATCGGCAAGTCCGAAGAAATGGGGGAAGAATCACCTGCCAATCTAGAAACAATTCCCACGGAAACAGTTAGGAACGGAGTTCAAGTTACTTCTATGGACAAAGCGAAAAGTAAAAGAGTACAATATTGTTATTTGCAGCAGATAGAAAGCATGTTGTGAAAGCGCGTTATTTTTCAGTTGATATTCTGTTAAAAGCAACTGGAAATGCTCCGATAATGAAACAAAAGAAATGGTCTGTTAGCAAAGATTACTGCATCGGTCGTATTTCGGATTTCATGATATATATATATATATATATATATACATATATCTTCTTCTTTACGCTAGTTTCTCTACGTGAATCAAACATTTGCACCTGCACCGGATCAGTTGGTGAAAAATTTGTACGATTGCTACGGCGCGGATGGAAAATTAATACTTCACTACTGTAAAAGTCAAGCTTGGGGCTAAACGTACGTTTTATTTCTCACATTCCTAGTATTGAAACGATAAATGATAAATGATTTTCCGTACTGTATTTCTTCTCAGATCGGTGGTGGTGGTGGTGGTGATGGCAGCGGGTATTTCCAAATTATTATAGCACCGTCCGCACTCACCGTGATTACAAACTGACCGTTTGGCGCGAAAGCACAACCGGTAATCGGAGCTGCGTGTGCAAGACCTATACGAATAGTAGTTGCGGTACGGTATTCCCAAAGTTTAACGATACAATCGTCCGATCCGGTGAGAAAATAGCGACCATCCTGGCTGATACTTATCGCGTTCAACGTGCTATTCGTCGAACCTTCGACTTCTCGAACCATCGAACCGTCCAATGTTTCCCAATATGCTATTTTCCGATCTGTGCCACACGTTAAAATTTGCACGCCGTTAGGAACGAAACACGTCGCCGTGTACGTCGTATTTCCCCTCAGCATGAATTTCCTCCTGATATTTCTAAACGATGAAACACGACGTGTTGTGTTTAGTTTATTGGACATCGTCGTTGCTTGTAAACTTTCTTACCTTAAATCCCACATTATGCACGTACCATCTGTACTGGAACTGATCAAACTCTCGTTGTCGGGTGAAACGTGCAACGACGTTATCGGACCTCTGTGTTCTTTCAGGACGTGTAACAAATGTCGCATCTCAGATTTTGCGTCCCATATTCGTACCTGTCCGTCGCAACCACCGCTAACGAGCTTACGGTCGTCGTTGGTAATGGCAATTGTCGACACGGATTTTGTATGAGCACGATTAATCTCGAATAAAAGTTTCCCGCCGTTCAACGCGAATCCTCTTATCGCGCCGTCGTTCCATGCTTGAATGTTGAAAAAGTCGGTAAATGTGAACACGCTCGCAGATACTTCTCGATACTTACCGGATATTATCGAACCGCCGTTAGAATCGAAACATAGACTGGAACAAGTAAAATTTGGTACGGTGATACGAAACAATTCTTTCGGTGTCGTCAATTTCCAGACTCGAATGTCATTTTTACCAGTCGTTGCAAATATCTCCGAACAGTTGCTAGAAAAATCGATACGATATTTGTGTTCCTTTTTTACTTGCGGGAGTAGGTAAACGTTTGAAATTTACCGCGGAAATGCCAAACCGTATAGCGGACTGGTGTGACAGGTAACGATCAAACGTGTACGAAAGCTGGACAATTCGATTTCGTGGATTTCACATAGGGCAGTTCCTACCAATATAAAATCATTTTTATACCAATTCATCGACGTCACCGTGGCACACACGTTCGCTGTGCGACGCTGTAAACAAGATTATTATTTCTTCTTTTGTTGTTATCACCGTACTTTTCTTCGTTACATAACACTCACCGTTATTATAGCAGGTATGATTAACAAGTTGTTCGTTTTACTCGCGACGACGAGTGTCGACGATTCGTTTCTTATTTCGATTAGTTCGACCGTTCCATCGCCAGCACCTACCACCACCAGGTGCTGCTTGTTGTCCCTCTCCGAGAGTAACAAATTTCTCACACCACCCGCGTACACTTCTCCGTTCTTCGTCTTCTTGGAGTAACAGCCGATCATAACCGGATGTTTAGCAACGGATTCTTCTCTCAGATTTAATCTATCGAAGAAAAGTATTTCCTATCATGTCGCGTCGAACGAGAGAGGGAGGGAGAGAGAGAGAGAGAGAGAGACCTCGCTTTTATGACGTCACCAGATGTCGTTCCGCAATAAACGTTTTCGTCGTTTTTATCTACGATCAGACAATTGATCGCGCGCTTTATTTTTCCAAGTTTCACGTCGATTCCACCTAACTTTCGATCTTTCGAATTCACGCGCCATAACTTGAAAGTTCCATCTCCGCCGGTAAGGAAAGCCGTTTCGCATAGGTTTGTACGCGCGATCGTTCGAGCATTTCCAAACGCTTCGCTTCCAGCAAACGTACCTATTGGTATGTACAACGGTAAATCACGTCGATAGAACTGAATAAACGGAGTAGGTACCAGAAAGTGGGCTTCCGTTTTCAACGTCCCATATTACGATGCGACCGTCGTCCCGACCACCGAGGCTAACGAGATATCGTCCGTTCGCTGTGAAACATACGTCTTCGACTCTAACTTTGTGCATTTCGTAGCTAGCTTTCAGTTTACGTCCCTCGTAATCCCATATTATCACCGTTGCCTTGAAAGAAAAGTCGTTGGAATAACGATCGATTGGAGTAGTTAACAACGACGACGACGACGACGACGACGACAACGACGACCACCTTGAAACCGCGATGGCTCGTTTGACCGGAAGCTATCAAGTCTCCGGAAGATGAGATGCACAAAGCAGAAACTGAATTTTGATGTCCTGTAAGGAAAAACTGTTGGCTCGTTGCGATGTGTTTGACGGTAACTTTGCTTCCCATCGAGTATACCAGATGTTCTCCATCGGGATGTACGCGTAAGCCGTTTCTTGTCAGACCTACGAATAAAATAAACGTACGATATGTACGATGTAACGAAGAATTCGACGAATAGTTATAATTACCAACCGTCGAATCCTATTATACCGTATATCTCCAATTCGTTCATGATAATAAGCGGTTGTAGAACTGCTGCCGAGCTTCCAACTTTTCGACGGAGGAGTAACAATTGCGTCGTCGTGACAACGAACGATGTAGGATGTACAGAATGCCCCTTTATCGATTGCGGTTAACAACCTTCGTTTCGAAGAGTGAACAAGCGAGCACGTAGATCGCAGCACGTGTATACGTGACGCCCCGTTTGTAGGACGTGTCTCTCTCTCTCGTTGTTCGCGCACAGTTGGGTCGCAGAACAACGCGTTGGATCGAGTAGTGAGATTGTTTCACCGCGATTATGGATTTATTGCCGTAAGCTGGTTTTTTTTAGGATGTTTACCTTGAATAACCGCGATAACCTCGATCGATTTCTGTTTAGAGAGCAAAATTCGACGTTTTGGAAAATTGGTAGATTGAAAACGTTCGAATATTGGCCCTTTCGATCATCCTCCGATAATTCGTGTAGCCCCGAGCGAATGGCTGCTGCTGGTTTTTTCGCGGTAGGTGGTCGAGAAGAACCTGACTTGGCGGAATGTTTTATTTGCTCCAAAGAACTCGATGGCTGGGATCCCGACGACGATCCGTGGTACGAGTTGTAAGTTAATTTTCGATCGGGTATAATTGGTAACTTACTGATTATCTTTAGGAAGGAACACGCAAAACATCAGCCGGAATGTCCGTTTGTAAAATTGGGGAAACCTGACGAAGCTTTGTGGACTGTGCATGATTTGTTTGATTTGTTCAAAAGATATGCCGTGAAGGAATGCGTAAGTATCGTTTTGTAAGCACTGGAGAAATGCTGCGAAGAGTATAGGAACTTGTATAAATTTTACAGACACGCGAGTTAGCTAAAGCTGTATCTACGGCGAAGGAAGAGAGCGCGAAACTTGTACGTGAAATACCGCACATTTACAAGGAACTAAGAAAGGACTGCGAAGACCGGAGTTGAGATTGTTTATATAAATTTGTGTGCCTACTTTGACCGATTGTACATACTATATGTGACGTAACGTATTTTTTATTTTTTTTTTTTTTTTTTTTTTTTTTTTTACCAATAAAATTTGCTCTAGCGATGAAAATTTAAAGATCTAAGTTATCCAGGTCTCGCGTTGGTCGATAGACTTGAAAATAACGAAAAAGGAGAAACGTACAGTCATTTTTAAGTACAGTCTGACGAACGTTATCTCGTAAAAAATGTTTACCTATGGTAGAACGATAGAAAGACGGTAGGTTTGATACTTGTGATTGGTTCGAATTATCATATCAATTAACACGAATCGTAGAGATTACCTTATCCAGATTATTAAAAATAGTATTGTAAGAGGGGAGGAAAAATTTAAGGGAGCTAGGTATCCACTTTAGATAGAATAATCAATCGGAGGAAAAGTTGGATAATCGCCGAGGTATGATTTAGCAGGAGAACGAGGAAAACGTGCCGAAACACTTGACGTTGGATTGAAATCGAATTTGTTCGTTCGTCTTTACCTTTCTACTCTCGGTGGAACGCTTGTAATATAAAAGCGTGTATTAAATAAGTATAAAAACTGTGTACATAACACGACGCGCGTTATCATTCCCCTCCAACGATCATGATGCCGCCTTCTCAACTTTTACCAACGTGCGCGCTTAGCCTCTTATCCACGTTTCCTTTCCCTTTTTACGTTTAGCGCGGGTAGGAACACACGTGTACGAGTATAAAATGAATTCGCACCGAGTGCACCGATTCAGTTTCTCGCAACACGTGGTCGCACGTACTATCCTTTCCATCGTCCGTAGAGACAGACAGACTGGTGATTTTCGTGGATCTCGTTCCCGTTCGTTGGACCGATGATAACATAGCGACGAAAGTAAGAAAACGCGATCGTTTTTACTGGACGTTGAATCCAGAGAGGAGACGGTTTATCGTCGATTTTCAAACATACCGTTGACGCAATGTTGTCCTCCTGGAGAGCATGTTGTAAGTACTATTTGCATTTTACAATCGATATCGGTTAAACTTTGTATTTTTTTGTTGGTCTCGCTGGTCGTTGATAATTCTTAGGAAAATTACACGAGTATGCACCACCTCAACTTTGAAAGCTGTTTTTGTTCTCCATTTCTGCATAAATGGAGAAAAATTGACTTGTGTAAATACATGTGCGATAATTGGTTTCGAATTGTTTTCAAAGTGCCTCGAGAGAGATTGTTCGCGAATGGATTATACTTTGCGCATTTGGTAATCGTGCATTTCGTAAGGTGTAGAGAAAGGCTGGTATTAATTAAGGGAGTTGTAACAACGAACCAGTTCGATAATTACGTTTTATTAGAAATTAACGTTCATCGTGGTACTTTAAAGACACGTTTGTCTTTTCCTAGTTGTTTGCTTGGTAAATAATGACTAACGGAATTTTGAATCGTGTGGCGGGGTTCGCTGGTACGCATATGATTAGTTTGATTATCGTTGCTTGATAACAAGTTCCTTTTTTCTTTACGAAGCAATGGAATTCGTTAGAAGAAGATTCGTAGAATAAGATTGTTGAAAATTGTGCTTTGCTATCGATTATGGTATAGTATATACAATTTCTATCGAGTCAGAGTTTATGAATTTTTATCGAAAATTCCTGAAATGTTTCCACGCGCGTAATAAAACGTTTGCTTCGTCCTCGGTAATGAGAGAGACAAGGCAAGGCAAGGCAAGGCGAGACAAGGCAAAGCAAAGTAAAGCGATGCGTGATGTAAAGTGGAACGGAAGAAAAACAATAAAAGAATCGGCGAGTAAAAAGGTGAGACGTAATGTTGAAAGGAAATTTCACGTGATACTCGGTGGTGTCATGTTCGACAATGGAAAAACCTGTTAAAGCCGGTAAAATTAACGATCCGTTGAAACAAGGAAAATAACTGGCAACTCGTAAGACAAGATTACAGGAATTAAGATCGTTTGAATCTACGAAGAGAGCACGCTAAGCTCCAGAAATCGCTTTCTCGTTATCTTTACGGCGAATCAACGATGTGATTACCCTATAAATCGGAATTCGTATCGTATTGGTGGTAGTTTTCGGCTTCTTGGATTTTCCATACATCGTCAGATAAGATAATTTATTGGTTGATGCTGCGACTGGTGATATTTAACCGACAAAAATGTACGCGTTTGTCAGATTGGCGGTGATCGATCGATCGATCGACTGGATTTTTATTTCTTCTTCTTCTTCTTCTTCTTCTTTTGTTGTGCGTAACTCACGGTTTACGAGGGATTTGGTGTTGTTTATCTCTTGAGGTGACTTGTTATCTCTACACTCTTTATCCGAGTTTAAAATTTTTCACCATCCAGCTGTATCGCATTGGAACGATCGGTTCGTACATCGATACTTGAATAAATATGTATGTACATACGAATATAGCGGAGGGAAAAGACGTCCTTTATAGGTGATTACGGGTAATGAAAGTCGAATCACGAATTATCGTACGTGTCGCAGGGGGATTGAACCTTCGCTTACGACCTTTTACATTCCAAGGATGCGTTTATTTTCGACATACATACATGTAGTATCTCTCTGCGTCTCTCTTTGGTGTTGGGTCGGATCAACGGTTGCCGCCTGCCTTTTCAGTAGTCGAAATTGAAATTATGCTATGCTCGAGTCAGTGGTACGTGCAAGGAATTTGACCTTTACCTAGATAGGTTTGTACGGCTCGTTAGACAGCTGCCAATAGGGGGAAAGGCTCCGGTGCTAATCGTCATTCCTTCCGCGCTGTTGACCTCGGGCTTTCTTCTTTGCGACAGCATGAGTCTATTTATCAATGCTGTTTTTACCGATAGAAGATGTTTAATGCACACACACACACACACACACACAGGTGGGAGAATACCGCAACGATGGATATTTGCGATAATGGGATTTTTGGCGTTGTTCAACGCTTACGCGATGAGAGTTTGCCTTTCGATCACGATCACCGAGATGGTACGCACGCCGGAAACTGAAGCGCCCAGCGATAATGGTTGCTCGGCGATGGAGGAAGACCGGAAAGTTGTGAATACAACGAGATCGACGAACAACGCGCAACAGTACGAGTGGGATGGAATGATGCAGGTAACGGAACGAGGCATCTCGGAGTAGTATTGTTGTTATATAGTGTATATGTATGTACGATAGAATATTTTCAGGGGATCATTTTGTCGTCGTTCTACTGGGGCTACGTGGTGACGCATCTGCCTGGCGGGATGCTGTCGGAAAAGTTTGGTGGAAAGCATTCCCTTGGTTTGGGTATCCTGGCGACCGCGTTGTTCACCTTGATAACACCGATCGTCGTGGAATTCGGAGAGGCAACAGGTCTGATCGTTATGCGCGTGTTAATGGGTCTTTGCGAGGGTACCACGTTCCCGGCGTTGAACGCGATGCTCGCGCAGTGGACGCCACCGGAGGAGAGATCGAAGATCGGTTCGTTGGTATTCGCCGGTGCCCAACTTGGCACGGTGTTCGCAAACTCGTTGGCCGGTATCATTCTTCATTATTCGACGATGGGATGGCCAGCTGTGTTTTACGTGTTCGGTAGTATCGGAGTTGTTTGGTTCTTGTTATGGTTGGTAACGTGTTACAATAATCCAGACACGCATCCGTTCATCTCCGAAAAGGAGAGGAACTTTCTGCGGGAAAGGATGCACGCGCATACTCATAAGAAGCCACCCTCGGTACCGTGGAGACACGTTCTTAGGTCTGTGCCGGTTTGGGCGCTGATTGCCGCACAGATCGGTCACGACTGGGGTTTCTTTACGCTGATCAACGATCTACCGAAGTACATGAGCAAGGTACTCAAGTATTCGATCAAAAGCAACGGATTGCTCTCCGCTTTACCCTATTTGACCATGTGGCTCTGCAGCGTAGTGACATCTTGCCTAGCCGATTGGATGATAACGTCAGGTCTGATGTCACGCACCAATGTACGTAAACTAGGCACAACCATCGCATCGCTCGGACCAGGAGCGTTCGTTGTCGGTGCGTCTTACGCCGAATGCGACAGAACAACCGTCGTTATCATGTTCACCGTTGGTACGACGTTAATGGGTACCTCTCTCTCTCTCTCTCTCTCTCTCTCTCTCTCTCTCTCTATCCAGACTATCCATATATACCAACCTCTCGATTGGTTCGTAATACTCACGCCTGTCTCTCCTTTCAGGAACGTTTTATCCAGGAATGAAGGTGAACGCTTTGGATCTCAGTCCAAATTATTCCGGCACGTTGATGGCTCTGGTAAATGGAATAGGCGCTTTTAGCGGTATCTTGACGCCGTATATCGTTGGCGTGCTAACTCCGAACGAGTACCTTTCCGAATGGAGACTCGTCTTTTGGATCGTTTTCGCTGTGTTCGTTGTGACCAATTTGATATTTGTGCTGTACGCGAGTGGGGAAGTCGAATACTGGAACGATCCTGAATTTATTAGAAGGGACAGAGAGGAGAGACGAATGAAAAACGGAAAAGGACAAAAGGTTGAGAAACCCCTTCCATAACCTAACTTAATGCCTCTCTCTCTCTCTCTCTCTGTTTTTTTTTCGTTTTTTCTCGTTTTTACACGACACGAACGAACGAACGGAATGCGCATGACGCGCATAATGAATTATACACGAGCGACACTCCCCGTTGTATAGCGCTCTTGTCGTTGTGTTCAATTCTTTTCCATAAATACGAGAAATATTACTCGCGGATTTACCGCATTCGCGTGTTTCTCGCGCGCTGTGTCGATGTCGCGTACGCTCAAATCCCTAGATAGATGATGTTTCTCCTCCTTTTCTCCTTTCCGTCTAGTCCAAGTTCGAAACAACAAACGACAAGTCGAACAACTGCTGCGTACATTTACGTAGGGTACGCGTTATCGAACGAGAAGGAGATAAATACACATTCGCCGGATGTTACATATTGACGACGTGTTCTCGCGAACGAGATTCGGTGTACCTGAAAGTATTTTTATGCTTACACCGTGCACGATTGCGCGCGTGTTTTTTGTGTGCCTACATACGCATACTCATATTACACACACGCGTCGTTTAAATGCACCATAGCCCCTGAATCTTAGAAACCTCCGTCGTGTTCCATCCCCGTCTCTAATCGGGATTTGTAAGGATTTTTTCTATCAGGCATAAATATTCCTTACACTTCTCGTACTTCCACATACAGTATTTATTTGTCGCAAAGATTTCGTTTCTGCCTTTTTACAAACGTCGTTTAACGCTAGCGTCGTATTATTTACACAATAGTATTCGCGATGCGATCCAACTTTTGCGCGCAATTTATGGCGGGTTCCTCCCCCCCTTCTCTAATTGGACGGTAGTTTGGTCCAAGCAAGCGGTATATCATCGAGCTTTTTCTTCTCCTGCTGATTTTTTCTTCGGTGATGACCACCGCGATACCTTCCTCTGTTCGGACTCCAACTGATACTATCGTCTCGAACTCTCCAGGATGTCGATGCTTTTGGTATCGCGTAATTGAACGTGTTTTTAATCTCTGGAGATTCCGTTTCGCAAATATTCGCAAACGTGTAATACGCGACGTGATAATAGTCCCTTAATGTTGGCTCGTCGCGGAAAGCTTGCATAGCACACCAAACGTGCGAAAGCAAACGAGGAAATCTAGAAAGCCAATAACGGGTAAAATTCTCCGGAATGTCTCCGAGACTTTCTTGAGCCTGCGAACTCAGTTCTCTGTAGTGATGCTTCTACGTGAAAAAAACACACGAATGAAACCATTTGTATCGAGGAATCCTGTGTTATATTTTCAACGAGTATTTATTTCTATGTCATCTCCGTGTACGTACCTTGTTTCTCAATGCCCTTAACAGATCTCGCACACTTTCGCCCCGATAACTTCTATATTTCCGAAGATCGGTTGCAACTTCTACGTCGATGTGTAACCTCCAATCCCCTTGTACCACTCGGTTGTTATCGGTTTCCAACGCGATCATGACTGGACTATCGATCCGCTCTTTTTCCACTCGATCGCTCACATCCTGATACGCGACAAAGTTCGCAAAAGAATCGTGTGTGTTAGACAAGATCGAATAAGAAACGATATCTCACACGCTAGATGTACACACTCGCACGCATGTACGTGAAAAAAATAACGAGAGAGAGAGAGAGAGAGAGAGAGAGAGAGAGAGAGGACAACACCTGAAAAAATCCAAGAATTCGTGCAGGTTCCCAGAATATTGGGTGATCGTGGACAGCTATCACCGGTGGTCGTTCCGATGGATTACTAGCGATCATCGCTTTTATAAGTACCAAAGCCAATTCTTTGTCGTTTTCGGGAATTCCATCGTAAAGAGCCGTTAAATCGCTTTCACCGCCTGTCACATCAAATACACATATCTCTATCGTAGTGAAAAATTCAAACTTCGAATACCGAGTAAGGATAGCGAAGGAGAAAAAGGTGTTAGTTTTACTCTCCCACTTACGACAATTTTTCACCTTGCCTGTTGTGTTGCGCGCTTTATATATGTATATATCCACCCACCACTATCCTCCTCGTACTCCGTCTTCACCCCCCCAAGAAAAGAAGAAAAAAAGGAGCAAATTACAACATATCTTGTCTTACAAAGTATATTCGCCTGCCGCCGCAATGGATCTCCGAATGGGTGTTTTCCGTCGGAAAGAACGTAGTAGAAAACGCAGCCCAGAGAAAAAATATCCACGGCACAAGTCGTTCTACTTCCGTTTAACATTTCTGGAGCGATCCAACCATCGGTTCCTGTCACGCCGGATCTACGCGAAAAAGACACACGACCTAGTTGAAGTTTCTTGCACAAGCCAAAGTCCGATATCATGGCTCTAACTTCGCCGCGTGGTCCCGGTGTCGACAATAACACGTTGTGTGGTTTGATGTCTCTATGCACTGTCACAATATTTAAACGTTCAAGGAACGGACACAACCAAGTCAAGATATATTCGAATATATCGAGTCTGTCGAAATTTCGATCTTATAATTGTGTGTGTGTGTGTGTGTGTGTGTTATCATCATCAAAATACGTGGAACTTACCGATATCGAGAAGATGTAGATGAGCTAAGCCTGACGTAGCTTGTCGTAAAATACTCTTGGCGGATATTTTTTGCCTGTCGTATTTTCCCGCGACGTAATCCTGCAATGTCGCTTCGGCTAATTCTAACGCGATGTATCGAAACATTCTATCCTGCTCGGTGCAAAAGTATCGCACAACGTTCGCGTGTGCGTCCGATTCTCTGAGCAGTGTTACTTCTCTATCGGCAAACGTGAAACAATCCGGCAACAAACGCTTCACAGCTACCGAACGTCCGTCAAATTTGCCCCTGCAAACAAGATACGTATGATAAATATACGAAATAAATGTGCCACCCACGTAAATTGCAACACCCGACAAATTATGAAAAA